TAGCTAGTTATTAGCGTCCTCACAGGTTAGTGTGTAAGTCCACTTACAGGTCCACTTACAGCGTCCTCATAGGTCCACTTACACACCAACCTGTGAGGACGCTAATAACTAGCTATGTCATTATATCCCTTCAGGTGGGTTTCTGGCACTGTAATCCGGCATATCAGGCATACAAATGCCACCACAAGCCGAGTGCGCGGCGCATACCAAAAAGGGGCTGATCGATACTAAGCTGTTTACTGCTAATTTTTTGATCTGGAAGACTTGGTTGTTCTGAGCAGGTGCCAATCTGAGGACTAGTGCACAACAAAGCGCCGCCACTTCTGATTGCTCCATCCGCATTTATAATAATAAAACTTTTGGAGTTATCGTTTTTCTGCCCACGAAATAGTTCTGACATTCTAAACACAAAGGCACTTGAACTGTTTGTTATTTTGTTGATGCGATTCAAAAGACAAAAGCCTAATTCAAAGTTAGTAATTACACAAGGGAGTGGGGGCAAAAAAAAAGTCATTTTGTCCAACGGTTCAAATCAGCAATCTTTTCGTCGCATAGGGTGCAGTCGTTGAGGCGAGCTCCATAGAACAATACTCCCTAGATGTCCCTCCATAAGCACTACCAGACCCTCCTTCACTGTCTTCAGAATATGACATCATCTACATCGCGCTCAGAGAGGCCTACCGTAGTCGCTCCAGAAGTTGCTGCAAAATCTTATTCAATCGACTTACTAGTGGATACCTTTCGAAAGGACTGTGGCTCTGCCCATGTGAGGCCCCTTCCAAGCGGCTTTTCGGATATCGTCTCAATGTTCTACTATCAGTCGAGAACCGTGTCGACCTCGAACCGTGCGCCATGTTTCGTGGAAAAATCTTCTGATGTCTTCGGTGTAGAAGGCTGTTGTGTAGCTTTTGATAGATTATAATGTGCTCTTCAATATTCAGTTGGGGTCATTTGGTTTGGTTTCGCAACGCGTAAATAATTCCGTTTTGAATGTTGAGTGAAGTGTCTCTTTTTTTTGGGCCGCTTGGTTGGCCTGACCAGCGTACATCCAGGATTTACCTAAGTCGGCGTGTGTAAGAAGCGCACTTTCTTTAACCTTTTCCGCTAATAGCTGCTCGCAAAACTTCTGCGCGCGGCAAACTGCCTAAGAAAGCCCTCTCACCCGATCTTGCCAGAACCTTATTCCTATGAAAATCACCATATAATGTTTCCCTTCGTCGATATAGAAAAAATAAACACCACCCCCTCCAAGCCCCTTATCACCAGAACAGTTGTCGCGAAATCGCGAATAACTGGGATGACGTACAAAATTTCCTGGATTGTTCTCGAACTGTGTAATGTACATGTAACCGCTGTTGATTGTCGATCGGATAAGCGTCTGTTTTTCCCATCGCTTTCCTTGAGAAATCTCGACCACTTGGGTATCCACTGAAAACGATCAATACACATCAATTATCGATTAATATGCGACTGAATCAAACTGCCTAACCGATATGACTAAGTGTCTCCTTCTGGTCAAGAGCTCGAATGTCTGGATTGTAAGTGAAGACATCATCGACCGGTGCAAACACCTGAAATCATTTCATCCAGTTTCATACAGCTGCAAGTAGAGCAATCAATATTCGACCGGTAATTACCGTAATCCTGGCGTTACTGTCTTCCATATAAGCCTTCGCCACCGTGTAACGACCGCATAACGCATGCCACTTAAAAAAGAATTGAATGAGTTTATTTATATACGAAGTTATTACGATTCTCAACAAAATCAATACTACAAATGGATGAAGTGGAATTTCGAAAGAAGACTCACTTGTTGTAAATCGCTGATTCGCTCTGTTTCTGTCCATAAATCAGCAGCAACGCTAGCGAAAACCACAACAATCCACCACATCAGCTCATTAACGCCGAAAATAGGTATTGATCGATCTGCTCTATCAGTGTTAAGCTATGCGATGACTCCGGGTTTGGAATGGCTAAAATAAAATAGAAAGTAGAGCTAGTCGCGTGGAAAATTTGTCACAAATGAAAACGACTACCAGCGACCTGTTTAATGTACGTGCAGATTATCGATAAAGTCAACAATTTTCGTGACGTAAGTTCATGAGAAGCTGAAAATTTGCTCGGGGTCGAGTTATTTTGAAAAAACAGGAAAAAACACATGCTTCCGTTACTTGGAACTGATTATTGAGCCTGTCAAATTACCGAATGTTATTCGAGGAGCTTTGAGCGAGAGAAATGCACTATGCGCTTCATCTCACCTTTGTCTTGCCTCTTGGAAACCTAACCCAAAACGTAACGGAAATTCGGACCGCATGCGTTTTCTATACTACATCTTCGAAGGATTGACTGCATGTCGAAAACCGATCAATCGAAACAGGTGGATCAATCCCAGTGAGCCTCAAGCTAAGTTATCAAGTATTACCCCCATCTGATCTTTGCTATTATTAGGAATTATCCGATTGCAGCGAATTTTGAAGGAAATTCAGTTCTAACAAGGAGGTCGTTCAGGGTGTGCCAAGCTTTTTCAAAATGGTTTCTTGCATGACATTGGGGCACATATGGGGACCACAGAAGCATGGTTCATTTTTCCTGAACGGCTCTCTGAATACCAGAAAAGGGGTCCCTAGTTCGATTCCTCGTGGTGACAAGTTTTTGCATTTCGAGTTGACGTTTCCAAATTCGCGCAAAATGGAGTTAGCATGAATAATTAGTACCAAATTCATGATTAGAGGAACGTCAGTAACCCTTACAAATAGACTTTGATTGAAAAACTGGTGAAAAGGTGTGACTAGACCCCCTTTTCTGGTATTCAGAGGGCCGTTCAGGAAAAATTAACCATGGTTCTGTGGTTCCCGCATGTGCCTCTATATCATGCAAAAGACCGTTTTGAAAAAGCTTGGCACACCCTGAAAGACCTTCCTTGTAAGAGCGACAGCAGGAGGGAGAGAAGCTGACCAATTTTATTTGGCAGATAGTGCGCCAAGAAAAGCGCTATCATACTCCATTCGGCTGAATCAGCTAAACACCATCGTTAATGACCCAAGCGAATACGGAATATCTCCATTATCAGCAGATGAACCGAACGGGTTTCAGGAGAATCGGGGATGGATAAAAAAACTGCAGAATAAATTTTGATCACTTTTTCGAGAATGCTATTGATAATGACATGATCTTATCATTTTGTGATATAACGTCTCTCTGTGATGGATAATCAACTAGAAAATTACCCAAATGGTATGAAAGCGTAACACTTTCCGTAGATTGTGCGTTAATTACGGGAGACGATCCAGGGAGGTGGGCGGTGGAGCGGGGGGTTGACAGGGCAGAGATTATGACTATGATTTATTATCGATGATTAATATTAACAATAAAAGAGAACACTTTTATATAACAGGTAGCCGATATAATGAACGAGATAAATAAATAAATCATAGAAAAATTGTGAAATAGCAACGAGATGGAAGGCTAGGGAGATTGGGTAAAAACCTCATAAATTGTCTAAGACGTTACATGGTGATTGTCGCAGGCACGTTTATGGAATATTTTTGCATATTTCACAGCAAATATTGCCAATGAGTCATGGGATCAACGTATGACACAACCCGTCACATAGTAACGTAAAAATGTAAGAAACCGGGTTGTACACTTCGATGCCAATGTTGGATTTGGCTTATACATAGACTTTTGGTGGCTTTATTTAACTATAACTTTATATGAATGTCAGGTGACTTTCATGTCAACTCTTCAGTATAAGCAAACACATGAAGATGCTCAGGAAGTATTACTTTCAATTCTCAGCTTAATTGCTGTACGAGCAAAAGCTTACAATTCATGCGCATCAATATCAACCACTGTTATTTTCTATAAAATACATATGCGAACAGATTCTACTACCGGGTTAGATTTCGAGCTGCTATTCGTCTTCTGACCATAAGCAGGTGGCAATCCGAAGGCTTGCACACGCCACTTGTTCGTGCTCCATCAGTGCTTACAAGGGAGTGGGGAAGGGGTGA